TGGGGAGCAAAGCCGTGAAAGCCGCGTTTCGCGTGTTAGTTATCGCCAGAGTGTGAAGGAGGCTCCCATGGAACCTATCAACGAGAGGAACTTTCAGTCTATAGCTCAGGTGCGAAAAAGTACGGTGAGCAATCGCAGACAGGACAGAAGTAAGAGCAAAGTCTTCTTCAAAATTGACGAAGCAGAGGAGGCCGAGGAGATGAAGCAGGGCCAGTCCACCGGTCAGAGTATGTACGGTGGATCGCGGGGACGACAGTCGAGGTATACTAAAGTGTACAATGCAACTGGCGAAAATGCCCACGAGCGGTCCCTCAAGATCACTCCGGCCGCGCGAAAACTGCTGGAGACCATCTACGATACGCTAAAAACTATGTTTGAAAAACTCGGCGAAGCCCTGGAGAATGTTGTGCCCAGAAATTTTAGGCCTTGCGAAGAGGCGCTTGAAATAATGGAACAGCTACACACTCACCTAGATGACTTCATTAAAAGTCTGCGCTACAGTCCCTATGAAGTGGAACTGAAGAATATAAATAACAAAATTGCCATGCTTATCGATGAGCTGGAAGTGCAGCCACCCTTTCTCCTTCTGCGACTGGTGGAATTTGGATTTCACATATTCGAGTTCGGAAACTGGATCCGTGAAAAGCTCCTTCCAACCTCCTATGCCGTCCTTATCCACACAATTCAGACCAGAATCTACGTAAGTCGCAGCTTCTCTTTAGGTACCCTGATTACTTACCGTAGTAACAGGCGATATACTGTTATAAACGCGAATTTTCCAGATGTCAGCCATTCCGTACCCCTTATTAGTTGGCAGTCCTTAATCCCACTGCGACATCGAAGGCGTTGGGGAGGGAAAAAAGAGAGGAAACACAATATAGCGCGGCAGTGAAGAGGCGAGCCCCAGGTTCTTGTTGCAAATAAGACGAAGGCATTTCTCTGTGCTTTCGACTTTGTACAAGAGGCCATCTTAAGAGACGGTGAGAATGCAGCGAAAATCGACATGTTTGGTATTCCAGCTACGAAGGTGGTGGGGGTAAGGGGGGAGGCAGTAGCATTCTTGATAGATTGAGTCCACGCTCACGTCGTCGTCGTCGTCGTCAGGGCGTGCGTCCTTGGCTGGAAACTAGGCCGCGCGAACGAAGGGCGTAACAGCAGGGGGGTATATCAGCATGTCTGTTGATTCAATTGTAGTCAGATATCCGGGCCTCCAGTAGTTCTCACCCCGTCTTATTACTGGCTCACGCCATTATCCGCGTGCCTGTGAAGTTGAATTTGTGGCATTTCTCTAGGGTGTTGGCAGTGATCTGAGACTGCCCGTCTTTGTTCTATTATTTGTGAAACGACTTGAGCGCACACTCAACCTACACCGAATGCTATCCTCTATTCCCCCATTATTTCTCGTAGCTGGACTATGGAGCATGTCAATTCTCGCAGCAATTTCATTGTCTCTGAAGAGGGCCTCTTGCAC